TCTTCTACAGCTGTCAAAGGCGTTGCTTAGCAATGGCATCTCATTGGAGTGATACAGTGTTTGTGAAAAACCTGTGATGTTATGGCGAAATAACAGCACGGTTAGAACGCTTCTCAACCAATCAGCTTGCGTGGCCGGAACTAACAGTTGTATAATAAAGAAATAAATCAACAATATAATGAATGAATAAAATAAAATTATGTAGTGTATAAAATATAATATAGTAAAATAAACATAATGTACTAAAATATAGACAAACTAATACATGGAGGCCACAAGTTAAGTATCTCATGGCGTAATCATAGCTTCAAAATGTTAGTTTGTGATATTAATATAATAATTTCTTGCCAAAGTGAATTCGTTGCCTCAGTAAAGTAATTTGTGGCCTCAATAAATGAATTTGTGTCATCAGTATAGTAATTTGTGGTCATTGGAACATTATTCAAAGTTTATACTTAATACATGTTTACTGTTTGCCTGCAAGAACAAGATTAACCTAATTAGAAAGAAAACACAGATTTAGGTTCCCTGGTGCTTTAATTGAGTATGATTTGGAATAATCCAGTAAATAATCTTATCATTTTGTAATGTAATTTCTTTTTTAATGAGGATGCTGCATTGAACCGCAGAGCTGTTGCAATACAAGCAGCTGAAATTATATCTCGTGTTACACAAATTTCTGAAGATGACACAACACTTTTATGACCTATGGGGCAAGACAAGAGCCATGTTGGTCTTTGACAAAATGCAACTCATGGTGTGTGGTGTATTCAGTGGAAGCAATTAAACCTTTATTAGCTCTGAGTACAGCAGTTTTATGACTGACGCCCCAACACTAGGGCAAAGCAGGCATTTAATGAGGACTGATCGAAGCTCTGCAAACACCACCATGACAAACAGTTGTGAGAGAATGTAGTACCAAACAAGCGGCTTCCTTGACCTCTGCGTCATTGTTTTTTTTTTGCATCACTGAGTGCATTTACATGCACTCTATAATCCAATAACTGCAGAAAATCAGATTTTATCAGTAATTTGTTCAAAGCATTTACATGTACTTGGGGATTTCAGATAATGGGAAAACTCCAGGTATGCATGAGTCAGTATAATCAGATTTCTGCTTTGCAACCCACCAGTAAGCTCACAGAAGAAAATGTGATGTAAAATTCAAAGTTTGTGTCACAGCTTTTCTTTTTAGAACTCATAGTCATTTTACCAGCAAATATGAATGTATATCATTTAGAAGATGAAAAATATTCAAATTCTTCATTTCTTCAAGCATGCTGTTAGTTTCAGCTTCTCTCCAAATTGTTTTGTTGCCATCCCGTGAGTGGTTTGTTAAACGCTGCTTGATGTTTCCATGTCAGCTCTACGCCTAGCACACGCCTAAGAAAAATGAAAGAAATCAGAGTGGGGGCTTACATGCACTGAAAAATCAGATTTCTTGAAATCCGCCAGCAGCCTCATTCCGATTCTCCAGAAATTGGAGAATTCCTTTTACATTACCTCTTGAATAATCATATTAATGGTGTGTATTTAAACACACTCACATTTCTCCATTGTTAATAAACCAACTTTTCCACCTCATCCAAGGTCTGTAAAATAGGTGGATGGAAAGCCCAATTATGAAAAGGACAGATTGAGGCCAGTGGTTTCCAATCCTGTACTGGAGACCCTTCTCTCCTGTACATTTCAGTGCTTCAGCTCAGGCAGGCCTTTTTAATGATCAGTTGTGTTAGAGCAGGAAAATATTAAAAGACGCAGGCCTATTAGAAACCAGAGGGGAGACACCAGGACTAGGGTTGGGAACTACTGAGCATTTTTTGTATTTTATAGAATTATGAATGTTATTTTGTAATAGTGCACTGCCATTGTAAACACTACTATAAATAACTTTGTTCATAAGAAGTTGTTCTTAATGACTCACCTGCTTAAATAAAGGTTAAATAAAATAAAATGCAATATTTCAGTTCTTAATAACAGGTTTTCCATGCACCACTTTTATGTATTAATTCTGAAAATGTACTTCAAAAATCTGGTGGAAAGCAAGAATTTTGAAAAAAAAATGTTTTTGCTGTTATATGAAAAAAGGTTATTAATAAAGGAAAAATCTGAAAAATGGTGACAGAAATGCGATGATGTGCCAGGAGCAAAGGTCATGGTTCTGATCCATCTGAAGCCAACAAAAAGAGTTACAGGTAAAAATTAGAGGCTGCATCTTAAACTGCATTTACAGAACTAAATAGTATGGCAAATCAGTATGTTGCCAATGGTGCTATTACTACTTTAAACTTATTGTAGGATTGTATGCAGATTGAGACACAGCCATCAACGTTACGTCTAGACTTGTGTTCGTAGGTGTTCAGTGGGCGACGGTGAAATGAAACAGCAACTTCAGCCCTCATTAAATGGTCCTCTGTCTGCTCCACCCAGCACCTCTGAACTGTTAAAACTACAGCAATGTACAGCTGTCAGAGGGCTGTAAAACTGCTCTACTAAGAGCTAAGAAAGGATTATATCCTATTGTGATGAATGCCATGTGCATGTGCGTCATCTTCAGGAATTTATGCATAACTGTAGTTGATGGAAACAGTTACTAATTTGCCTTTTTTACCAATTTTTTGGAAATTTGCTTCAAATTTGTATAACATAGGAAGAGAAACCCTACTAATGCTGATAGTCCAGCAGAGAGCAGCGAACATGAAAAAGACTTTGAAAATGTAGTTAGTTATGCTGTATGTAAAAAACATAAAATTTATATAAAAATTAATTTTAAGGGGGGTTTACATTCGATGTTTGACATTTTCCATGTATTGTTTTTATGGAAAATGTTACCCTTTATGGCCCATTGTCATGTAAAGATGACATTTTATTCAAGGTCAGTGGCAGGAATTGAATGGCAAGTCTCTTGAACATGAGGTCGTTGCAGGTCCTTCCTTATAATGTTTGTTTATTGCTTAAATAAAGAAACAAACAGACAGTGCTTATACTGCGTGTGCAAGTATATATTGGACATGTATTTTACAAGAATGCCATGTATATTGTTTTGTTTGGTTCTTGTCCCAGGCACAGAACAGTGTGATGCTCGTGATGTTTATTCAGCACAAAACTAAATTTGTGGCAAGAAGGAAACTGACTAAATTCGACTTTTCTTCATACTATAGTTTTAATCAAAGATGACTCAGGCTGACGTCCTGCCATGAGCTGTCCTTTGTTACAAGGACACCGTGAACCCGGGTGTGGTCAATAGGATTGTTTCCACGGCAACCACCCAGTGTCTGAGAGCTGTGCCCACTGACAGTTTCTCTGTTCTGAGATTAGGTGCGTGTGCTTGTGGGAGACACAGGCTCGGTGCTCCATAGAGGAATGTCTGACTTTAACTTTCCAATATTTTTATTTTTAGCTCTCTAGAGTCTGTTGTTTATTTGACTGTAGTGCATTTGTAAATTGGTGAGCCTTTTTTCTGAGTTTTGGTGTTGGTGTGGATTGTTGGTTTGGATTCTGCTTTTGTAAGTAGTTTTGGTTTTGGTAATTACCAAGTGAACATTGTACACATTATCAGCTAGAGGTATAATGATACACAGATTTGACAAAGTGATACATATAATACAATATAATATAAGCCTAAATCTCAGACTGGCTTTTACTTGTGGCTGAATTCTGACTCCCCAGCAGAATCCGACTTCCCTTTGCATGCACGCACCTCATGCAGCTGTATGGACACTACAGATTACACTTGTGATTTTGCTGGTTTTACGCATAGAAAAAAACAAAATTGCGAGCGTAACCTGTAGCGTATATATGCCTGCGTGATGCACATGCATGCAAGGGATTCTGTGTCCTTCAATTTGTCAACAAATGCATGTGCACAGCTGTCATCAAAGCACAATTTGTATTTATGACAGTGGTGTAAAAGTGAAATACACTCCGCAACTCTAGGAGGAGCCCAAGAGAGAAAATGACCAATTCTTGCTTAATGCTGCTTTAGAACAGTGAACTAATCTTAGATATTTAAGAAATTAAAAAAAAAAAAACAATTATATTGTTTTATATTGTTACAAGTCCTTAAAGATGAGGCTGCACTCAGTATGACGTGTTCCACCATATTAGTGGCAGTTCACAGTTTATGGGGGGCATGGCTACATGTCAGAAGACTTGTCATTCCAAATTAGTTGACCAATAGACAGAGCAGGTATGAGTTACATAATAATATAAAATGAGTGAAAATGAATGAAATAAGTAGTAATTAGGCCTGTCACGATAATGAAATTTTAGCTGAGCATTAAGACTCATATAAAAAATTAAAATGTCTTTTTTATTTATTGTATAAAGCTAATAAACTTTGACTCGACTTAATTATAAGGACAAGCCTAAAATGGCCAAATTGGTTGATTATCCATCTTGCATCTTGGTTATGTTATGTTAACTACCACAGTCAGGTTTGGAGTCAAGCAATGCTACAACTTTTACTGAGCGTTAAAGTATGAGCAAAAAAAAAAACACTTATTAGCTGCATAGTTAACAAATTAACAAACATTACTTGTGCCTCCTTTGAAATACGTTATGCCACCAAGTTAGAATTTAGAACATTGCTTGCTTTCATTTTACATTTTGCTTATTGCAGTTAAGTTTGCTTATTGCAGTAATGAGTTAAAAGAGAAGAAGACAAACATGACAGATGGATCAATGGTGTGGTGTTAGGTAAGGGAGGGTTAATATGCGTATCGTGACATCCTTTCTACCAGCGGTGTTGTTTACGCAAATGCAGGTGCAATAAAAGTGTTTAAAGCATCTAGCCACTCTTCTGTCCAGTGGCTAATAGAGGGTTATGACCTCCACACTTGTCTTTCTGTTCACTTGTAATCCACCAACTGGACCAGAATAACAGAGTCAGTGGGGATCACCCCCTGAGCACAGTCCATCTGTCTGCGCTGGAAAAGAAGTGCGTGAAAGAGAGGGGGGGTGGGGCAGGGCGTGGTAGGGCTGCTGACGCCTTTACTGTAGCAGTGTGTGGGTTTAGTAGGTGTTTATCCTGACCTGGTGTGACTATAATAAAGAAAAGTAACTGATCCAGTTATGATGGTAGTCAATTATCGCAGTATGTTACATTGCATTATAAAGAAGTGAGGCCACATTGTTTTTGGTCCAGATGTGGATTGAGTTGATTTGGAGTTGATTTATACTGACCTGATGTGGCACTTATAATGAGAAGTAATTATTTTTAAATCCATTCAGTTTTATTTTTAGTCTGTGCTTTCAGAATGGTACTTAAGTTTCATAATATTTTCAGCATGGATTCTGTTGATTTGGAGATGATTAATACTATAATAATGAAAAGTAACAGAACGTATCCAGCTTTGTTATACATTTGTTATATAAAGTGTATTGCAAAAATCATCGTAAAAAATCATCATACAGTTTCACAATACGCAATAAATATGGAACGATTCACCTGAAAACTCATCACGCAATGTAATAAGCTGGAACTGTTGAAAAAATTACTAGTGCCCCATTTAAGTTCCACATATTGCACTGCTCTAAATTCAGTTAGACATGATTATTGTCCTTTTGGTAATAAAACATGCAGGTGATAAGTGTTCTGTAAGTACTGTTGATATCCATGATATGCAGTAAAACACATTGTGGCACATTTTATCACGATAAAGAATAAATATCATCTTTTTGCCCGGCCCTAATTCAACATATATGTTGAAATATACTGACAACATATAACAATACGTTTAATCTCCATGTGGGATAATGGATGGATGCAAGAGATCCATGTTGTTTTTGGTCGAAATGTTGATTTGGAGGTAATTATACTGATCTGGTTTGACAGCAATAATGACAAGTAATTGATTCTAAATGCATTCAATTCTATTTTTACTCTGGTGAATGCTAGAATGATATAGAAGCTCCTTAATGAATGAAGAGAGTGCACATTGTTTTTGGTCCCAGTGTGCACTGTGTTGATTCAAAGCTGGTATGACAGTAATCATAACAGAAAATTAATAGGTTTAAAATGCATGTATTTCTGTTTTTGGTGAGCGATTGCAGAATGATATAAAAGGTATATACTATATGTGTTCAAAATGCATCAAAATGCATGATATTTCTACTTATTGGATTTTATATTTCCATGGAAAATATTGGATGGATGTCATGTTGTTGTTGGTACAGATTCAAATAACTTGTTAACAGTGTTAACAGTATAAAACAAACATTAATTGAATGTATTTATTCTTCATTGAAAAAAATATCATCTCCATGAGAGGGAAAAAAATCATCAAAGAGAATGGCTGGAGCTCGCCAGCAGACAGAGAAGGGAGGGGCAGGCTGCTACAAAGACACAGAGAGAGAGAGAGAGAGAGAGAGAGAGAGAGAGAGAGAGAGAGAGAGAGGTGATGTCATCTCTAGGCAGAAGCGAATCAGAAAACGGAAAAGAGGGAAGGGAGGAGAAAGAGGGGGATGCTGAAGAGAGAGAGAAATAGAGAGAGAGGGTGTGTTTTTTCCATCACTGCAGCATCATAGCAGAAGGTGCAGTCTACCCATTGGATGGTGGGAGCAGTAGAGAGAGAGAGAGAGAGAAAGGTGTGTCTCACTAGAAGAAAGGACAAGACACCTATAAAGGTAAGGCCTGTTCTGATTAATACTTCGGAGACTGTCAAACCACATCTGTTCACATGTTTATGAGCGGAGCAGGTGCTAAGTATCCAAGAAAACACACCTTCCGTGTGTGCGTGTGTGTGTGTGTGTCTGTGTGTGTGTGTGTGTTTGTGTGTGAGGCGTAGGCTTGGCGCACTGAAGAAGGAGATTGTGTATGTGGAAGTGTATACTAAGGTGAACTGATTTTTATCTGTATTTATGTTCAATAATGTGGACTGTATGGCTGTTAATATTTAATAATGCAGATTATTGTATGGCTATTAATAGTTAATAATGTGGTGCGCAGGCAGGAAGACCTTTTTCGCTATAAATAAAATATGATCAGTAGGGAGATAGCACAAATGGTCACTAAAGACAGACATATTGAGAAATTCAGCATTTATTTTTGATTAGCTCTTGTATTTTAGAACAGCAGGGTGGTACACACTCCATCTAACTTGTTCTTGGGCGAGAGAGCATGTGTATGTGTTTGAGAGGAAGAGAGAGAGGCATAGGCTTGGCCCTCCATAAAGGTGAATTATATTTATATAGCATGATGTCCTGCAGTGTAAGTATATGTAGAAGGGAAATAATTAATGATTGGATGCATAGTGTATAGATTAAAAAGTAGAAAGTTGTTGGGGGAGGGAGACACATGGTAGGCTTTTTCGTGTGGATGAAGGCTCTTCTTTTCGCTGGAAAATACGTGTACAGCAGCATGGGCCATAACTCCTGCATGATAAAGGGCGGATCACACTACATCTGTCTAAAGCAGCACAATATGCACTAAATGTTTCATTTTTATCCTTTCATACATGCTGATGTTTCATAACATTATGCTGTGAACATTCTCATATCCATGCAGGATGAGGTATATATAGGTAATTATACTGGACTTACAACCCATGCTGTTGTGCATGCGTGTGTGTGTGTGTTGTTTTTTTTTTTTGGATTGAGGTTAAATGATATGGCACGAGATGTCGTAGAAACCTGGAAGTTTCTAGAGCAGTTTTCCAGTTCTGGAAAACGCCTAAAATATTTACAATTTGATGAAATGTCCTGGAAAGTTTGGTAAAATTCTGGAAAAGTGTACACTTTGTCCATTAAAACTCTGATGTGCAAATTCTAGCCTATTTTCCCAATCATAGTTTGGAATGCTATAGTGTTGCATACTGAAAGATACGTGGGCACTGCTTCGGAACGCCTATTGAGTGCGGCTACTTGCAGCATGAAACGTTCAGCTTTAATACTTTGGTGTGACTTTCTATTCAACAATGATTGATTAAGCATTGGTTTGTATGAGTGTGTGTGTCAGTATGTCAGTCAGTAAGTGACTGTTAGGGGTTTATATTGTTTTATTGCAGGTGTTTACTTTGTTCAGGAAGTCGGTAGTTGTGCTTCGTTTTATGACCTTTCATGAGCAACAACTGCTTTGTATATAAATTATGGAGATTGTCCAGGAAAAATGATTTCCTAAAAAGAGTGGAACCCTGTACTGTGACCTAAATTAATCTTGATAACGATAAATATCGTCATATTGCCCAGCTCTGCTTGGTGAATGCATTTCAGTGTTTGTGACAAAAAGAAATGCATTAAATTTACTTGATTTAAGAACAATAACTTGGTTGATGTAATATATTGTATTCATGTGGAAATGATGTACACATTTGAGCAGTATATTAAAGTTTATTCAGTGTGTTACTCTTGCAGTGCATACAGTTTAGAGCATGCAGACTTACTGTGACACAACAGCTGCAAGCCTGCTTAATCAGTTCCAGTATAAATACTGGACTGTATGCAAAAGGTTGATTTTGTTGCTGCTCTACCGGTGACACATTTCTCTACAAGGCGCCAGTTCTAATTGTTTGCTGAGTTTATTATATTACAAAAAAATAAAATGGAAAATATGCCTTAACTTTGTGCAGTATGTGCCATTACTGGCAACATACTGTTTTTATTCCTGATATGTTGAATTCAGCAAATAGTAATCGTGCAATAAAATGTGCAAAGCTCGCTAAGAAGAGCAACAACACATGAAATGTAACCGGGGTGCACAAACTTTGGCTGGAGATAACAACTATACTCAAAATAAAGATGCACAAGAGCTATCTTAGACTTTTTTATGATAACAAAGGTTGCTTTTAATGTCTCCAGTATCAGCTGTCATATATATTAATATAGTCATAAAACACACTTAATGATTGTTATACACACTACAGCTGAAATGTGGTTCTATCTGTGTGCATATATGTATGTTGTTAAGAGGTTAAAGTTCATTTTAGGCTCTTTCTCTGTCTACCACTCCAAGTACAAATCTATATTATTCTCATCCTTTATACATCAGGTGGCTATATAATCTATAGAGGATATAATGTTAACACAGAAAAATCAATACTATGCAAAACTGTTTCAAAGTTTTCTGCATTACTTATTAATGATAATGTATTTGGGTTTTAATGTCTCCATTATCAGTTTATCAGCATTAGATGTCCTTAATGTTTTTGTCTAATGTCTAATGTGTTTAATCAGTATCAGAAAGAGATGCGGTGTCTGAATTCCAAAAGCAATTCTAATGCATGAATTTGAAATACTAAATATATTCTGATTAAAGGAGCGGTTAACAGAGCTTAAGGAGTGAAAGGACTGAAAAACAGAATAAAAGTGGCTGATGTACGTGCATAGGTTATATATACATGCTGTGTATATGAATAAAAACGCCAAACAACACCAGCAAGTTGGTGAAGGAATGTAGTATCCCATCAGTCACCTGTAAAGATCTGCAGGTTCTTTAGTAGTTTTGACAGCATTTCCACTCACATTAGGCCATAAGCTGTGAAGAGACACTGCAGGAAGATCCAGGAAATAAAGTACTAAAGGAATAGTTTAGTCAAAAAAGATCACGTTGAATGCAAACAAATGGACAGAGATTAGCATGGTGCAAATGATACATTGCCTTCCATTCATTGTTAGCCATGTTAGCTTATTTAGTCAGCATATTCCATTAACGTTTAAACATATACTACTTTTTTTTTTCTTTAACGTCTGTTTGTGCTTTGTGTTTTGCATCTGCTCTCAGTATCTCATCTTCACTGTTTTATCACATCATAACATCAGTTTTGGGTAAAACATTTTTATGACATTTTTTCCTTTTTCCCCTTTCTGCTTCTTTCTCATACTTCTTCTCAACCTTTGTCCATGTCGTTACAATCGTCTAATTCTGAATTGCTCTCTTTTTTCTTTTTTTTCTGCTGACAGAATGAGGCCTTTATACTGAAATATGAGAGGAATTCTCTTTTTCTCTCTTTCATAATATTTCTGAAGTGAATGGAAACAGAATTTCACATAGTGTCCTGTTCAGTATTTGAGAATGCTTCTGTGTTTTGAGGCAAAAGTCTCATAAATATATGTGTGTATTGTATCTCATTCAAAAAGCAGTCCAGGCTGAGACACACTATGTAACTTCACTGTCAAAGCACAGAGCTAAACGTCTGTAGGCTGAATAGGCAGATATATTTAAATAGATTTGTTTATGTGACATCACAAAGACTAGCTGTTTTTCCAGCTTAGTTTCCATTTATAAACTGTATGGACTGGTGAGTGAGCATTACATTTAGAAACTTTAACAATGTTTACATACTACATGAAACTCTTTTATTAAAAAAGCTACGCAAGTTAAGAGCTTAGAATCATCTACAGCTCTATTCATCATTCATAAAGTTCATAGCATCATATCAAAATCACTTTATGCATTTACTGGCAATGTAGTTTATTTTGTATTATTGAAACAGTGAATTTAAATTCTTGACTGCTAATGCGTGTGCAGTTTTACAAAAGTTACAGTAATCATCAGTATCCACTTTTATTTCAGTAGTTATAAAACAGACTCTCATCCTTCTTGACTTTGGAAATGTATGAGGCTCAGTAGGAGTGGTCATGTATTTTTGGGTGAATTTTGTAATACTTGCTTCCAGGTATAGGTTTCTATTAGTAGTAGCTGTACTACTAGTATATTAAGCTTGTTTTGTACCATTTCCTGAGTGTTTTTTAACATTTTAGTTGTTGGTCTATATGTTGTTGTTTATAAGCAAAGACAAAAGCATCGTTCTTCAGTATTCCATATCTTGTAGGTTTCAGCTAGTATTTTGAAGCTGATGATGATCCAGCCAGACTTTATTATTGGTCTTTACTCTTTTATCTCTTGTCTTATCTCTGAGCTGAACCACATTTGAGCAGGAAGCTGGTGTAAAATCAGCCCCTCAGGGGGAAGGGGATTGGGGTTATAGGGGTCACACCCTTATAGCATCTCTGGATTAATTGACTTGCTCCTGTGGTAAATCATCGCAGACTCCGCCTCTTTACAACAGCATTGATGTGAGTATGTGTTTTTGTTTGTTTTGTTGTTCTTTTTTTGGAAAGGCATGTGACAAGTTCTTGGACTCGTGAGTTATAGAAAGGAAGACATCGATATGAGAATTGTGGGCCGATATTTTTCATGTCTGTTGTACATATCTGCCGAAGTGTATACATAAACATTTATAAAGTGTTATTTACTTACCGCTACGGAGAAGTTTATTACTGTAGGGTTGTAACATTATTAAACTGCAGACATTTTAGCATCTAAAACATTCTGTTCTTTTAGAGTTCAGTAAATACATCATCAAGATTTATTTGTAATAGCCAAATCTAAACATCGGTCAGATATTTTTCTTTTTAAGCAAAGATTTGCTGATACCGATATGATCCCGATATTATCAGTCATCTCAAAATAATAAAAATAACAATAGTAGTAGTAGTAGTAATAGTAATAATAATAATAATAATTATTATTATTAATAATTAAATAATAATCATGTGTCTTGAGACACATGAAATTGTGCAGTTGCTTCATAGTGACATCCAACCCACCAATGACAAACGGGCTAAAAAAACATTAAAAACACTGTGTGCATGTGTGTGTGAGTGCAAGACGAAAGAGTGGGAGCCTA